TCAGAGTAAAAAATCTGAATGTTAATTTATTCTTTATTATTTATAAAAATATGCAACTTTGTAATACTTAATAGCCATCATGATCGAAAAACATGTAGACTTCCTCTAAACTTCCAAAAGTGTCTGACGATGAGATATAATTCTGAAAAAGATATCTTCGGCATGATAGAATAAAGCTGCTTTAATATTTTTTAATATCTTAAAAATGCAGAAAATTATTATGTTAAACAACGCCTAAACAATAAATATTGTACACACGATTTCACTCATCATGCAATTGTGTTTGAAGAACTTCATGTAATTAAAATTAACATACATTCATTGACTGCTTGTTTTTTTACTATTTCGCTGGCGATACAGTCTCATTCTTTGAGCAGCTGTAATAACTGTCTTGCCTATAAAAATCATTTCCATTTTAATAACTTTAAAAAAAACTTCCTAGTAACCACGAATAATACAAATTACTTCAATATACTTACGTTTCTTACACATCAGATTTTTCATTTGTTTTATTATTTTCACTATACAATCAAAGCAATCATACTCACGCGACACGACGACCAATCACAATCGACCCGTATAGAAATGATAATTGATCATTGGCACTCGACACGAGCGTAACGCTTTTCCGTTGCATTTGCACAGATTTACGCCCTAGTCGCGTCTAAAGAAGTTTGATTTCAAAAATTTCATTGCAATATTGGGTTCTACTTATAATTTTACTAAAAAAAATTGTATTGTAGGATGATTAAGATTATAACATTTTCTTATGTATGATTAAGATGATGTATGTCTTGAGTTAGCAATTTTTAATATTGATGAATGTAATTTTGGCCGAACAGATGCTTGCGAATTGTTATTTGGGACGCAAAATTAGAACTTTGGCGTCACCCACTAAGTCGTTGATCTAGTTCACGATTTGGGAACGGATTTTGTTTTGACTTTTTTTTATAAATATAGATGGCGTAATGTCAACAGGAATAGAGATGAATGGGAATGTGGATGCAGTGAAATCTTTAATTAATTTTTATAGGTTAGACTCTTTTATTTTTAATTTTTTATAAGGTCAGTTATTGTAATTGTCCAAAAATCTAAAGTGCAAATTTTTAGGTATCTTCACGTTTCAGAGGTTTCTGAACATTTTTGCATACTTTAGAAAAAATGTGTGTATGTGTGTATACAATTTTTCGTCGACGTTTTTGGGAGCACCGGTCAACTGATTTGAATGATTCATAAACCATTCGATTTCTATTGATAAGGAGACGTGCTGATTAGTTTTTGGCAAAGGCACGTCTAGCCGTTTTCATGATGCGGGTCAAAAAGTGCCGAAAACGGTAATTCAGTTTTTAAAAGAACGGAGCGTCCGATTTTGATAATTAAAAAAACATTTTACTTGTATTGACAAAACGAAAAATTGTTTAAATTTTTAGCAAGGCAGGCCCATCGGTTATGAACTCTCAATAAAAATAATGCCATATGACGGTCAAAAATGTTCATTAGACATTAGACATTAGATATTTTATAGAGATTTTAATAATGAGTACACATTTTGTGTATATTTTTTTGGGTTCCGTACCAAGATTTTTAATTTTAAAACTACGTCCTCGGCATTTTCGACAGTATAAGATAGGATAACCGATGTGTATGATTGAAAAATCATTCAGTTTATACTCGATCGCGAGGCGTTTTTGCAAAAGGCAATTTTGCCGTTTCGGAGGTATGGAGCGCAAAGGGTGTAAAAACGATTATGCAGTTTTTGAGAGAACGGATCATCCGATTAAAAAGCATTTTGCTTGAGTAGACGGTGTGCAACAAATGCTCTTACAGAAAATTTCGTAAGTCTGAAAATGTTCAAAAAAAATACAAAATTTTCAAAAAAAATCGAAGTTTCAAAAAATTCAAATTCTCGAAACTTTTCATCATTTTCAAAGAAAAAACTAAATTTTGAAAAATTTCAAAAAAATTCAAAATTTAAAAAAAACGATTTCTTTTTCTTTTTCGTATTCATAATAAATAATATATTTAAAAATATATAAAACAATTGTAATTAATTATTGAAAAATTTCATCGATTATTTTCATTCCTCGAATGCTCAATTACTGTACGAGAAGTTCCAGATATTCACGATGACATACACCACTTGTTTTATTTAATTCCAGACCTCCTGATCATTTCAGAATATCATAAAAAAATAAAAAAATTACTCTATGTATGTAGAATATGTACATATATGTTTTTACTGGAATAAGCTGTTATGCATTTTGATCTTATTACGCTTCTTGACCTCTTGATCATTTCAGAATATCCTAAAAATGACATATAATTTACTCTATGTATGTCGGATGTGTGTATATATGTTTTTACTGGAATAAGCTGTTGTGTATTTTGATCTTATTACGCTTCCAGACCTACTGATCATTTTGGAATATCCTAAAAATTTCATATATATACATACTCTATGTATGTAGAATGTATGTAAGTGTTTTTACTGGAATAAGCTGTTATGTTTTTTGATCTTATTACGCTTCCAGGCCTTCTCATTTTGGAATCATTTTGGAATATCTCAAAAATTTCATATATTTACTCTATGTATGTAGAATGTATGTATGTGCTTTTACTGGAATAAGCTTGTTATGTATTTTGTACTATACGCTTCCAGACCTCCTGATCATTTTTTAAAAACTACATAAATTTACTTTTCATCTTATTACGCTTCCAGACCTCCTGATCAATTTGGAATGTCATAAAAGTTATATATATATATATATATATATATATATATATATATATATATATATATTTACTCTATGTATGCAGGATATATGTATATAAATTTTTACTGGAAATGCTGTTATGTATTTTGATCTTATTACGCTTCCAGACCTCCTGATCATTTTGTGTCTCATAGACGGTAGTATGTATTTGTGATATGTCTCTATCTATGTATGTATGTATGTTTATGTATGTGCGTCATAAAAATAATAAACACATCTACATAAGTTCTTCTTACCCGTGGGTGGCTATGTATCAAAATTAGTTTCGGTTATACAATTTGGTCGAGGTGCTATTTTAGGTTATGTTCGAACATTTATTTTTTCATCAGTCACAGCACGAACGTCGGTCGAACAACAACAATTCGATAGATAAATCAATAGATAATTAGATAATTCGATAAACGAGTGGCCATTATAGTGTTGAATAATAGTGCGGTGCGAAAAAAAAATTGATGTTCATAAAAGTAAATAAATAGATAAATATATAAATGTTTATAAAATTAAATTGGTAATAAAATAAATAAATAATAGTATTAATTAATTCATGATTAAATGATCAAGTTGATAGATAAATAAATGTGTGATTGAAATAGATAAATGTGTGAATAATATATAAATAATTAAAAAGATAAAATGTAAATGGGTAACAAGATTAATATGTAAATAGATATATAGACAAATACCTGGATTTATGAAAAAATGTGTGTGTGGTTATAAATAATTTATATTATATTAACACATATAATTATAATTTTTTTTCTAAATTGAATCACAGTATATATTGTTTTTATTCAGACCATCAGAGTCATGATTATGGATTTAACATAAATTCGGGTTTTAAAAAATGATAACACATATTTTTCGGTTTGAAGCTCGGATAGATTTCGGTAAAATTCTGTGCTTAAATGCTAACTTCATCGATAAGAAAAGGATAACACATATCTTTTGGTTTGAATCTAGGATAGATTTCGGTAAAAATTCCGTGCTAAAACGCTAACTTTAGAGATAAGAAAAGGATAGCACATATCTTCCGGTTTGAAGCTAGGATAGAATTCGGTAAAATTTTATGCTAAAGCGCTAACTTCATCCCACACCAGTCTTTATGCTGATTTCATACCTTGTCTGTCCTGCTTAAAAAATATTTTCCATTTTAATAACTTCAAAGATTTATAGGAACTACGAATAATATATAAATAATTTCTAATCAATAAACTTACGTTTAGTACACGGCACAAATGTTTAATTTGTTTTATTATTTTCAAGGAACAGCGTAAAATACTCTTTTGATTCAGGCATTTTTCATTAAATCAAGATTTGCACTACGATGTAACTTTAAAATGTTTATTTATCCTTGTTGATATCGGTACGCATACAACGTTGATGCTGGTACACATACAACGACAGATCTCTATTCACATACACGACGACTAATTACAATCGACCCGTATAGAAATGATATCATCGAGAGCGAATGACGTACAGTTCGGGCGTAACGCTATTTGCGTTGCATTTGTACGGATTTACACTCTAGTTGCGCCTAAAGAAGTTTTACTTAAAAAACAATCAGATCTAAATGATCTTTAATTTAGTTTTGCCGTGGTTCGAGTTTTTGATAACTTTTGTTAATATTATATGCTGTAAAGCTAACTTCATACCAGTTCTCACAAAAAAGTTACAAAATCTAAACAATTTCAACTCAGACTATCGCTGTTTTAGTGTGGAAAATAATAAATTTATTCAGGTTAAGACATATGCAGTGGTTTGGAACTGGGATAGATTTTGGTGAAATTCTGTGCTAAATTGTTGACTTTATACCTGCTCCGAACAAAACAATCAAATCTGAATGATTTTCAATCGCATTTGTCAGGATAAGCCATGGTTCGAATATTTGATAATTTTTGGTAGTATGCTGTGCTAAAAAGCTAACTTCATAGGGATCGTTCAAGTATTACGTAAGCAGATTTATTACAATTATTTACTCCTCCCCTCCCCTTTGTCAGCAAAAGTAAGCAATATCTTACGAAAAATAAGCAAAATAAGCAAATCAATAACCCCCCCGCCCCCCTATAGTGCTTATGTAATACTTGAATGGCCCCATACGAGTTCTCTTAAAAACCTTTCAAAATCAGTTTAGATTTCAACTCAAACCATCGCTGGTCCAGTTTGAAAATAATAAATAAATTCAGTAAATTCAATAAATCTGCCGCATAACTGACCAATGTTATGGCAAGGCCATGTTACGCTCCAACTTCCATTCATTATGCTACTGAATCATACTGAATACTGTTAAAATGTCATATATTTGCTGTGCATTCAGGCGGTTTACACTTGAACTGCAACGTCACTCGTATGTTATGAAGCTGGGTCAGAAAGGCGCTGTTATTTAAGATCGTTATTTGACATTTGTGCGGTTTCTAGGTTAAGTTCTCTATCTATCTGACAACCTGAGAAAAACGCCTGACTGCACAGCAATCACGTAGGTTTTGTCAATATTTAGTATGGAAAGTTCTTCATAACATAGCCTTGCCATAACATTGGTCTGTTATGAGGCAGAATTGGTCTATTAATCTAGGCAGTCGTTGGCTCTACGTCTACCTCCTTTCTTTTATCTGATATGAATTATGTCGTATTTTTATTCCCGACTCGAAAATAAACTAGACTGGCGCGTGTCAGTCGAAACTCTCTTTTTTTATTTTTGAATATTTTCGAGAGTTAATTCATTTAGTTAAAAATAGGACGATATTGTATCCGAGTAATTTAAAAAGACATTATAGTTAGTCTGGAATTTCGAGTGATGCTTTTAAAGATTAAAATATATACTGGAGTTTTTTTTCGGTTGTGATTTCAGTAAACATAATAGTAATACTGTAATATGATAATAATAATAAGAAAATAATATTGGTAACAATATTTAATATGAAGTTAATAATGTCTGTCTTTCAGGACACAGCAAATATTTTAATTATATCAATTCTATTCGTTTAAACATTATGCGCAAATATAAATAATATGCAAGTTCAATTTGATTGGTCAGGGTTTATAACTTTGATAAGGCGATGCCAGCGCCGCAAGCGACTGTACGTCACAACTTAGCATACTAAATAAATAGCTCCTGTTTCGGTTTATTAATAACTGAACCAAGTTAAAGTGTATCCAATTTAATTTAGTTTGTTTTTGAAATGAAGTGCAAAAATATTATGTGTCAATTATGCTAAGCTTCATGAATTGAAATGCAGTCGAGTCCCTTAACGGCCCGACAGAGGGCCAAGCAGCTCCTGAAATCCAAAGAGAACTTGATCAGTAATTTTGTTATTGAGGATACCATAAAATCTAAAGGTAAAAGATGATAAAATTAAACACAATTATTAATCTAATCAAATAACAAATGTCTTTGTCATTAACATTATTATTAGTATTATCATTATTACTTATTTAAGATGTGGTACTTTTGCATTATGGACCTGTCTTCAGATGGAGCAAATATGATAAAAATAGTCTATATATATTAATCTATAATTAATATTAAATTAAGATAAACAATAAAAGTGGGTGGGGGTAGTAATGCTAATGAAAATGAGGAAGAGATGAAAAGAGAAAGCAAAAAGATAGAAAGGAAGTAAAGAGATAGACAGGAAGTATAGAGATAGATCCGAAGTATAGAGATAGACCGGAAGTATAGAGATAGAAAGGAAGTAAAGAGATAAAAGTAAAAAGAGATAGAAAAGAAGTATAGAGATAGACAGGAAGTATAGAGATAGACAGGAAGTATAGAGATAGACAGGAAGTATAGAGATAGACAGGAAATGTAGAGATAGACAGGAAATGAGAGATAGACAGGAAATGTAGAGATAGACAGGAAGTATAGAGATAGAAAGGAAGTATAGAGATAGAAAGGATGTAAAGAGATGGACAGGATGTAAAGAGATGGACAGGATGTAAAGAGATGGACTGGATGTAAAGAGATGGACTGGATGTAAAGAGATAGACAGGAAGTATAGAGATAGAAATGATGTTAGGAGATAGAAAGGAAGTAAAGAGATAGAGAGGAAGTAAAGATATATAAGGGAAGTAAAGAGAGATATAAAGGAAAAAGAGATAGAAAGCAAGTATAGAGATAGAAGGAAAGTAAAAAGGGATAGAAAAAAAGTAGATAGAGATACAAAGCTTGTGAAGATGAAAGTAGCGTTCTCACACTAATTATCTTCATTGTATTTAAATATCTATTTATGATATTTTCATATTATTAGTGGTGTGTATCGTTGTTTTTCTGTAAACAATGTATTCCAGCTTGCCATAGCAAGAGTTCAAACCTAGTTTAACAAGTTCATGACGCCTGTCGAATATTTAGAAAACATTACCAGGAAAAACGATATTTTTTCCGAAAATGGAAACATCGAAATTTAATGAAGTTTATTCCTTCTGCGTGATAAAATTAAAATCAAATCTATTTAAGTTCGATGGTAATAGGTTGATCATCACTGGAATGTGGTGCTCCATTGGTGCTCTGTGGTGAAAATCTGGTTTAAATTTTTAACACATGTTTGCAGATGCGAATATTATTATTACTATTTTAGTTTCGAAGTCATAATAAATTTTATTTTCTTAACTTGAACACATGCCAACAAATCTTTTCTCATTTTCATTCTACACTCGGCCGGATGTGAAATGTCACATTTGTCGAGACAAAAATATAAACATATGTATACATATATACGTATCGTCGTCTTCGCCACCCGCTCTGGATAATTTAAATTCGTATTTATACTGATATGTTTTTTTGAAAATTCCTAAACCAAATAATTTGTTTTTGGATAAATGCAGATGGTTTTAGATGGCTTGGATTGTATGAAGAATGAATTTTATCTAACTAAATGAATGATTTAATTGAATTTTTTCCAAATCCTTAAACCAAAGAATATTGGTGCATTTGATTATTGTAATCCACAACCTATTGGTCGCTTCCCGAACTGAACTCCTAGCCAATGGAAGTGAAATTAAAATATTTTATCTTCATACACTCTTATTTCCCTCATAGGTCTCCAAATTGGAAGTCCATAGCTCTAACCACTAAGCCATGGCAGTGGTTAGAGTTTTGGACTTCTTATCAGAGATCTCTGGTTTGATACCTGCCTCTGACAGCCTGATATTATTTTGGATGAATATGAATGGTTTTGGATAGTTTTGAATGCATTTGGAATGATAAGTATGGTTTTGGATGAACCTAGATTGTTTTGGATAAACTTGGATCGTTTTGGATTAATTTGGATGGATTTTGAGTAATTAGGATGGTTTTGGATGCATTTGGAATCATTAGGATGGTATTGGGTGAACCTGGATCGTTCTGAGTGAACTTGAATCGTTTTGGATGAATTTCGATGAATTTCTAATGATTAGGATGGTATCGAATGATTAGGATGATTTTAGAAGGATTTGGATTGTTTTCAGTGTATTTCGATTGATTTTGATGGTTTTGGATAGATCTGAATGAAATAGAATCGTTCTGGATGCATTTGGAATTATAAGGATGTTTTCGGATGGACTAGGATGATTTCTGATGAATTTTGATGGTGTTGGTTGCATTTGGAATGATTAGAATAGTTTTGGTACATGAATGATCATGATTTTGGATGAACTTGCATCGTTTTGGATGATTTTGGATCGTTTTTGAATGATTAGGATGGTTTTGGATGGACTCAGGTGCGTTTGGAATGATTAAGATGGTTTTGGATGGATGTATTTCGAATGATTAGGATGGTTATGGATGGGTCTGGATGAAATTGAATTATTTTGGGTGCATTAGGAATTATTAGGATGGTTTTGGATGGATTTGAATATATTATAAACGATTAGGATGATGATTAGAATTGTTTCGAATGAACCTGGTTCGTTTTGGCTGATTAAGATGGTTTTGGATGGACTTGGATGCATTTGGAATGATTAGGTTGGTTTTTAAATGCATCTGGATGCAATGGAATCGTTTTGGATGCATTTGGAATTATTAGGATAGTTTTGGATGCATTTGGAATTATTAGGATGGTTTTGGATGCATTCTGATGGTTTTGGATGCATTCTGATGGTTTTGGATACATTTGGAATATTTAGGATAGTTTTGGATACATTTGGAATGATTAGGACGGTTTTGGATGAACCTGGATCGTTTTGGATGAACTTGGATCATTTGGGATGGTTTGGAATGGACTTAGATGAGTATTGGAATGATTAGCATGGTTTTGGATGAATTTTGGTGGTTTTGGGCGTATTTCGAATAATCAGGATGGTTTTCGATGGATCTGAAATGGGATCTTTTTGGGTGTATTTGAAATTATTAGGATGATTTTGGATACATTTGGAATGATTAGAATGGTTTTGGGTGGATTTTGATGGCTTTGGATGCATTTGGATACTTTTGGAATGATTAGGATAATTTTGAAAAAATCTGAGTTTATAACAATTGAATTAATGAATTAATACTTTACTTTGTTAATATTTATTTTTCTATTTTTTTCAGACGTGTGCGGTTCCGAACATCTGCCAGAAGTCGAGATCTTCAGTCTCCTCGAAGAACAGATCCCGAGATACAAATTGAGATCGGACGCTCTCACCGAATTCGCCGGTAAGTTTAGGAACTAACCTAAAACAATCATATATATACAAAACAAACATATAAATATTTATTTCTTCCTTTCAGGATACGAAAATCAGGACTGGTTCATACCCAGTCCAGCGCTTCCACCTAGTGACGCTCACGAGAAACTATCGCCTGATCAGATCAGGGAGACCCTGAATTATTTCGGTGAGTCTTTTTTTTTAATTACAAAACAATAGACCTGGTTTTGGATAAACTTTTTCTAATAGTTTACCACTTACTTATTGTAAGATGAAATAATTTTATCCTGGTGAAATCAAGCGGACAACATATATGCAATTGACTTCTTTTGTGTTCATATTATCTTATATTATACTGCAGGCAGATAATACAGAAAAGTTATCCAGGAATAGGCCTATAAATATACTGAATTATTGAGAGAATAAATTTGGCTATAGGCGTATGGTTTTAAATGCCAGTCGTTTCTGGTAAAATATTTGGTGGCAACTATTGAATTCGGCAACATTGAGGGTTTGGGGTAGATTTGTTTAAGAACTGGAGAATTATGCAATACCACTATATATTTGGTATCAAATCTGGTCTTACGAGGAAATACTTAGTTGGAATTATCAACAAATTTCTAAAGCACCTATAATCAAAATAATAAGTTCCTGTTGAGATCTAGTGGCCAATCTCTGATAAAATGGACCATAACATATCGTTGTCATGGCAACGCTATGCTAAGCTTCTTTCTTTATATAAATTGGTAGTAAAAACTGTCAAAATGCTATGTATTTGCTCTGCGATCAGACGTTTGACACATAAAACCTAACTTTTTACGTATGTGTTATCACGATACATCAGAAAAATGCAGTAATGATAACATTCTTCTTTAGACGTGGGTTTGTGGGTTTTCAAGGTTAGGTTTTATATCTAAAACGCCTGACTGCACAACTGATACGCAGCATTTTGACAGTTTTCACTACGAGTTTATATGAATCTAACTTCAGGTATGTGTTTAATAACACAATGAAAGACACATTAGAAATATGCAGTAATGATAACATTTTTTTCTCAATTTATAATTTTCTTTTTTCTCAAACAGCCATGCAGCACAATTGCTTTGGAAAAAGTTCAAAATTTTCAAAAAAAAAATCGAAATATAAAAAAAATCATTTTTCTAACCAGCTAAACTTTTCAAAAAATTTAAATTATTCAAAAATCTCTTTTTTTTCAAAGTTTTCAATAAATTTTAGTTTTTTTTTAATGCTAATTTATGGTACGGGAAGTTTTAGGAGTTTGCCTTAACGCACGATGCCATTACCCACTAGTTTTATCAAAAATTTTTTAGGATAGTTAATAAAATCAGTACTTTCGCCCAGCTTCGGCTAGACGTTAAGTTTTGTGACACCCTGTATTAATTATATTAAACATTTTCTTTGTCATGATCACTAGTTTTAAGTTTAAATAAATGCGCCTGGACGAAGGCAATTTGATAATCATTGTTGAAGTCGAACAAAATTATCTTTACAATACCATTGATTATTTAATAAATTCTCAGTATATATCTTATATATAAAATTCTGTACGGGTGTATGATTTGACACTTTTCTTAAGCGGTTATTCGGATTTTGATCATTCTTTTTAGAATTTGTCAAAGAAAATTTTTAAGATTTCATAAACGATAAATATATAGTAATATTGTAGAAATAAATGGCAAAAATTACAAAAAACACTTATTGTTTGGCATTGAAACTATTTGAACCATCATCTGCTAGAAATGTCAATTCACTTGAAATTTGAATTTAGCTGAAATTATGAACCTATATAATATTAGAATATAATATATAAGAAAAATGTAATATAATCCAAAAAGCAGCTGAGATGTGCCATAAATTAGAATAATATAAGTTACAGTCATCAGTAAATGATGTGGCAGATGAAATTATGGAAATCATTTTAAAAAGTAAAGTAAACAGTCCAAAATTGCATATACCTTTTTTTTTAAACTTATACATATCGCATTTTGGTTTATTTTACTAAATTATTTAACGATACAAAAAATATTTCTATTTATTATAAAAATTGTTTAGAATTTTGTTTCATGTGTCAAAAATTCATTTGTTTGGCATTGGATATGGAATATTTAGTTGATCTTAGATTGAGTAGTGCACATATGAAGTATATTTTACAAATTAGGTCACCTAAGACTTGAACATGAACAATAATGTTTATTAAATTATTAGTAAGAAAAATGTACTTTAAAAATTGTTATTGCCAAAAAGCAACTAATATATCGTACGGGATTATGAAAATTATAGACTAAATTATTGAAGCAAATATGCCGTGTGTTAAAATCAAGTGTGATATTGTTCTTTTAACGCAGATACTATATTATTTTTTTCTGAATTTCTTATAATGCTTATGATAAGACCATAAATAAATCACAAAGGCAGGACATTAAATAGGATGTTAAAAAATTTGGAACTTTTGCATTGTATACGCGGGAACAGGACAACGTTTGTCGGGTCATCTAGTATATATATATATATATATAACATAATATTATAAATTTATAATTACTTATATCATACATTGGGTGTCGACGTAACGCCATGTTTACATTTTCTTACATAACAAAGACGATGAAAATAGAAATGAATAATGTATTTACACACACTACATGTTATGCATATACATATATATATATATATATATATATATATATATATATATATATATAAATGTGTATCTGTGTAGATTTATGTTTGTGGCATTGATTGATTTGTAAATTATGCCTCGTACTATTTTTGAATCTGTAATGACGTTCATGTACATTGTGACTGATTGATTGAAAATGAAGGATAAGACGAATTAGGCAGATCCATGGTTTGAGAATACACCCCTTATACCTTGATAATAACATAAATTCCCGCAAGAGAAACCACGTTTTCGCCAGAAAAATCGACAGGCAAATTCATGTTCTTTCGACGTTTCAAGGCATTTTTTTTATTTTTTTTTAAATTTTTTTAAATTTTTTTTTTATTTCATTTTTCATTTTATTTCATTCTGAATCAAATAAATGCAATTTTGAAGGTCAGTTAATTGCTTCTTGGTCTATTTTGTATCCATGGGGCCAGTTCTCCAATAAAATAGACATTTTTTGGCAACACTCGCTTAGGGGGCATCCACTAATCACGTGAGCTAGTTTTCAAAGATTTGTGGACACCTCCTCCCCCTTGGTGATACATGGTGATATTCAAAATTACCCCCTTTCCTCCACCAAACATCACGTGTATTTTTAGTTACATGATAAAACTGTAAAATTTTTGAATTTTGTTTTAAATGTTTGATTAAAAAAAAAATCAGTTAAAAATAAATACATGTGATATCTTACTATACCCCTTCCTCCCTCATGTGCTATTTCGTGATTTTCTGTCAACCCCCCCCCCCTACTCCTAAAAACCTCACGTGATTAATGGACGGCCTCCTAATAACTGTGTATTTGCTGTGCAATCAGGTGTTCTATATTAGATATAGAACTTAACTTCACGTATGTGTTGTGTAATCAAGGGCATATTAGAAAGATGCACTTATGATAACATTATGCGTTTGACCTTTGTGCGCTTTTTAGATTATATTTTATATGTGAAACGCCTCACTTCACAGCAATAACAACGCTATGGTACATTTCTATTTGATCGGCGAATTTTCCTAAAGGAATCAATGTAATATATTGATAGATCATATTAAGTATTCATAAACCATAACAAATAATGAGAGATAACATTAGATCATTTCAAATCACAGATAAAAATAATAATAATAATAATGGTGGTCTACCCGAAGGCAGGTCCATTGTGTGAGAGCCATCACAAATAAGTGATTTCTTTACCTCTTCTATCATGCCCATTACCACTATTCCCTCCTCTCCCTTTTCTCAGGCATTTTTCTTTCCAAACATTTGCTTTCATGCTTCCTGATCCTGTTCTTCGGCTTTCACTTCCCTGCATTTACTCTTCTCACGTAAGTTGTCAACCATCTGCATTCTTCTTCTTCCCATTTCTTTCAGTCTTTCTATTTCATTTTCGACTACGTCTTTATCTTTTCTACTTCTATTTTACGTCTACGAGTGTAGATGGCACTCTGTTTGCAGAATAGGCTTCTCTAGGGGAATCATAGATGTTTCAGGTTAAATCACGATAGAACACATTATATCATAATAGATTCTAATTTATCACGATATATTGATAGATTATGATAAATCAATAGGATAGATCATATCGCGACAGAAGTCTATAACGCCATCTATATTTGAGAACCGATAATACTTTCTTGCCAATCCAATCTAAATGCAGATAATTATTATGCAAAATTTTCCAGTTATTGTCCGAGTTGACCATGTGCAACATGATATAGATATATTAATTTATTATATATATATATATATATATATATAT